GTACCTGACTAGAATGTTAGTGTTTTTTCATAGTTAAGAATATCAGAATAAAGAGTATATTAACGAAAACAAAGAATGCTGCATTAGCTGGATACAATTTTTATGTATCAACATAAGGAAAAGCCAACAATAGAAAGAAAAACAAAGGTACCAAGAGGTACTAAAGAGCATCATTCAAGGGGCCGGCCCCGTGGCGTAGCAGTTAAGTGCTCGTGCTCTGCTGCTGGCTGCCCGGGTTCGGATCCCAGGTGCACACCGATGCACCACTTGTCAGGCCATGCTGTGGCGGCATCCCATATAAAGTGGAGGAAGATGGGCACAGATGTTAGCCCAGGGCCAGTCTTCCTCAGCAAAAAGAGGAGGATTGGCATGGATGTTAGCTCAGAGCTGATCTTCTTCAAAAAAGAAAAAAAAAAAAAAGAGCATCATTCAATAAACATAATAAAGTTTTGAAGACAAACCATCATAAAGGAATTTGAAGTTCTTTAAAATAAAGAAAATGTCAGGATTAACCACTAGAAGGCAGCAGCAGGCCATCAGAAAGTAGCTCCTCGTCTTTTGTAATTAACGAACAGCGCTATTATTCTCTAATGCCCCCGCTGTAGTAATGCTGGTATCTCCAAGAAAGTATTTCAAAAGATCTCAAACAAATTAGTAACTGCAATAGAGGTCATACAATCAGTTTTAAATTATGAAAATCAAAACACTCTTTTTTGCCTATGAGAACATAGCAAAATTAAAAACAGTAACACACACACAGCCTCCACGGTCAGAAGTGCGGGGAAGTGAATGCTTTCACGGTAGTGGGAATATAAACCGGTGCAGACATTGGAGACCAAAATTTTTTGACCTAATTGGAATCTAGCACAATGACATTCACTGGCAGCATTGTTTGTCATAATAAAAAAATTTGAGACAGTCTAGAAGTCTATCAACAGCGAAACAGTTAAATAAAAATCCATATTAAGGAATATTAAGCAGCATTTCTAAAAAATGAGGTAGATCTATAGTTTGATATAGAAGGATTTCTACCACATAATACATGAAAAAGACAAGCGTAGAATGTAAACATACATAAAGGCACATTTACGCACAATGTTTGCAAAATTACATAGAAAAAAGAAGGATACATACTAACTGTTGAGGAAGAGGTTCATGTATCATGTGCTTAAGAAGGGGCATTGAAATTGTATTATATTTATTTCTATACTATTTTAATTTTTTCAATAAGCATGCATTACTCTTTTTTTTAACACTTTATTATTTTTTTTAATTTTTTTTATTTATCTATTTTTCCCCCAAAGCCCCAGTAGATAGTTGTATGTCATAGCTGCACATCCTTCTAGTTGCTGTATGTGGGACTCGGCCTCAGCATGGCCGGAGAAGCAGTGCGTCGGTGCGCGCCCAGGATCCGAACCCAGGCCGCCAGCAGCGGAGTGTGCGCACTTAACCGCTAAGCCACAGGGCCGGCCCAAAGCATGCATTACTCATTAATTGTATAATCTAAATGAGTAAATGCAAGGCAGAAAGCATTCAATGTAACACGTATGTATCTGTTGTAGAAAAACAACACAATTCACAATGAAAAAAAATTATAAGAACTTACATGGATAAAGCTACATCTTAAAGCTACTGCTAGTTTTAATAAAGGGTAATCTTACATAAACAATTTTTTTTTTTTTTGAGGAAGATCAGCCCTGAGCTAACATCCTGCTAATCCTCCTCTTTTTGCTGAGGAAGACTGGCTCTGAGCTAACATCTATTGCCAAACCTCCTCCTTTTTTGTTTTTTTCCCCCAAAGCCCCAGTAGATAGTTGTATGTCATAGCTGCACATCCTTCTAGTTGCTGTATGTGGGATGCGGCCTCAGCATGACTGGAGAAGCGGTGCGGCGGTGCGTGCCCAGGATCCAAACCCGGGCCGCCAGTAGCGGAGCGCTCGCACTCAACCGCTAAGCCACAGGGCCAGCCCTAAACAATTTTTAAAGGCCAGTAACACATCAGTGGAAAACAAGGAGAGGTAATGAGTATTTAAAGATGATTAAATATACAATTCAATAATACAATAATGAACAATGATGAACAACCATCCTCTAATTCCAAATACTTTTCCAGGGAAAGAGATGGAGGGAAGGAGAGGTGGAGACAGGGAGGGAGGGAGAATGAATCTTGAATAAAAAGGAACTAGTCAGAACCTATAGATACCTTGCCTCCATTCAAAAATAACAATTTAGACATTATGGAATATGCCTTAGAGCATATAATGGCAGATTTCATCACTGCTAAATTCATGGATCTCTTAAGAATATTATAAATACCAGTAGACTAATAAATTATCTATTAGTTACATTTGGGAGCTTAATAAATTATGTAAATTAATGAAATCACAGAATTGGAAAAAACTTACAAGATCTGGGACAGGTCATACCTAACCCATCTCCATAAAAGGAATTACCCACTAATTTCTCTTTTAATGCTTCAAAAGAGTACACAAACTCTTACTCCCAATCAACTTAGACATGTTACCAAAAGAATTATATATTTATCTATCCATCTATCTCTCTATCATCAGTGTTTCCCTTTATTTTATTCTTTAAATCTTGTTTGTTTACTTTGTACCCCAATCTAAGCATTGGCCCTTCTGTTTCACTTTCACTAACCCAATACCATAGCATCTAGGCATCTACTCTCTTACTTAGAATTAGGTCTTAAAAAGTCTTAAAAGTGTCCAAACATATTGGCTTTGCAAAATATTTAATAGGCTGGTAAAAGTAATCAAAGACTTGCCCACTCTGATGTGTCATTATGTAAAATGACAAATCCATCTCCAGGTAAATTGTTTATTGTTTGGGTGAATGAGGTGGATCGCTAATTTCCTAGGCTTATTTAGGGCATTTAATTGCACTAAACAGACAGATAAGACACCTGCAACAAATGTACATAAGGGAGACCCATTAAGCTCCAACCTGATTTGGAATATAGTCATAAGTTGCTTAATGACAGGTATACATTCTCAAAAATGCTTCGTTAGGCGATTCTGTCATTGTGTGAACATCACAGAGTGCACTTATGCAAACCTAGATGGTGTAGCCTACTACACACCTGTGCCAGTCCGTGTCAACCTAACCAACTTTTAAGCACATGAGTGTATTGTTTTCTAAAGTCTCATGGCAGTGATGGAGGGAAGTTGCTTGGCAACTGGAATTCTTATTTACTAATAGGTAATTTAATATAAAGCCTTCTAAGTTATGCACTGTGTAATCCATTATGTTGTTTGTTCTTATTGGTTACAGCATTCTAAGAAGAGTAAGCGTAGGTGGCTACTTAAGACAGTACAAATTGATTGGAAAAAATAGAATACAAAGTTATACTTAAATGAGTCACTTTCTCCCCTATTCTCTCCCCGCTACCCCATCCCCCAAAGCAACTGTTTTTTTAAAGCAAAGGCATTTTATTCCCCTCTCCTCCCCACCATGTGTCAAAAGAAATTCAACCACCCTCCAGCTTCCAAAAGCCACAGGGAAAAATAAAAACATACTGTCTCTAACTAAGAGAGTTCAAAGAACTATGCAGCAAGGGCATCTGGGTATAAAAGGATAGTTTTATGAAAAGAATAGTCACCTGCGTGACGGAAGGGTAGAACAGAAAAGATACTGTCTGTGGACAGGAGGGGTTCCCATAGAACTGTTTACTTAATGCATAAAATGCTGAGACAGAAACATTAGTCAGAAAAAAAGCCAATGACTAAGGAAAACTGCTCCGAAACCAAGGCAGCTACTGGAACACATTTAATAGACGTAAGCCAGGCCTGGGCACTACAGCTTTTCCTTTCTTTCCCTTCACCGTAGAAAAACATTTCATGCAGTGAATATTATTCCAGAAACCATTGAAATTCAATACTAAATTATAAAGTGCTGCAATTTTAAAATTTAATAATCAAAATATAGTAGCCCGAATAGCTTGGAAATTTGCCTACTGAAATAACAGAAGGAAATCAGCAAGTGTTTCAATTTTTTAAAAGATGTTTCTTCTTGCTTAACCAGCACTGATATTTTTTCCCTTTGGTATTCTTGTTCATTTGCTGCCAATACACTTCTACCCAAAGGAACCCCACCCAAGCTACCAAACTGTCTAAAACTATGATGGATTAACGTGTCTTTAGGAACTGGCTTTTTGGTTATTGTTGTTATTTTTAATTAAACACTAATGCTCTCACTATACAGTTTTCCCTAGAGAGAACAAAGCTTAACACCCCAAAGAGAAGAAAAACGGAAATTACTGAATGGTACAGTTAAGACAAGGTTCACTAAATAGCATCTCTTTCCAAGAGGTTTCCTTTCACTATACATAAGTTTGGTAAATGCAATAATAAGATAGTGTCCTTTAAAAAGTAAAAGAAGGAAATTGCATCTGTACTACCTAAACAATTTTCACCATGAAAATATGACTTGAAATTAAAATCCTAGTTTTAGGATACAGAGATTCAGAAGGCTGGTGAGTCTAAATGCCCTCTTAGAGCAACTCCAAAACTTGCTCTTTAAGGGTAAGTAGCACATAATCCACCCAGGCTGATTTTAGGCTGCTGGCACCCAACAATAAACAAAAGACTTTGTAATAGTTTAAATTAAGCTATATCAATCTATTCCAAACCACCACAACCACCCAATCCATCCTTTTTGATGCACCGTTAATTCTTTGCCTAGCTCCCTTCAGAGTAATTTCTAAGAATATGAGAACAAATTCATTCAATAAACATTTTATCACAGACCTAATATATGCGAGGCACTGTTCCACTAGCTAGAAACATAGAAAAACAGCAACTTAAGGACTTACCCTGATTTATCATCAAATCCCTGATCAACTCTGACAGGCAGTTTTTAATACTTACGAAACGTCTGGCCTCCAAAGTATTCATTTATAATCACTGTCATAATAGGGTTTTTGGGGATTGTTTTTTGTTTGTTTGTTCTTTGCAATGGTAATTCAATCATTTGTGTTTTACCTTCATTAGCCTCTGGCCTTGAATTCTTGATATATGCAGAGAATTTGGCAAAGATGTCCATTCCAGCAGTATTTGATTCTGGGTGTTTTGGTGAAAGTTTTAAGTACCTAAATGGAAAAAGTGACAATAGATTATATATCCTCCAGAAATACATTAGCATAAGTTCTCTCAATCAACAAATCATTGTGCTAGCAGTTACTAGACATCTTTTAACAGTTACTACTCTAAGAAATGCCATCATCTGTTTTCTATGATATTTTTAAGATGTGTTTTTTCCTTAGGAAACAAAGCTCTGCACAGTGCTTTTGTTCACATATTAATATTCTTGGCAACCAAAGGCATCCGCAGTCCACCTCCATTTTATAAATTAGAATGTGGGGAAACAGTCTACTTGTTCAGAGACTTGTGCCAAACCCAGGGGCGTCTTTTAAAAAGAAGTCTAGGGCAGCACCATCCAAGAGAACCTTCTGTGATGATGGAAATATTCTCTATCTGAATTGTCCAATACAGTCACCACTAGTGACATGGTTATCTGACTATGAATTTAAATTAACCACAATTGAATAAAGTTAAAAATTCACTCCCTCTGGGGCCAGCCTGGTGGCGCAAGCGGTTAAGTGTGCGTGCTCCGCTGTGGCGGCCTGGGGTTCACCGGTTTGGATCCTGGGCGCGCACCGACGCACCGCTGTCAAGCCATGCTGTGGCGGCGTTCCATATAAAAAAAAATAAATAAATAAAGTGGAGGAAGATGGGCATGGATGTCAGCCCAGAGCCAGTCTTCCTCAGCAAAAAAAGAGGATTCGCAGATGTTAGCTCAGGGCCGATCTTAGACACACACACACACACACACACACACACACACACACACACACAAATAAATAAAAGAATTTCTTCAAAAAAAAAAAAATTCACTTCCTCAGTTGTACTAGTCACATTTCAGCTGTAGAGCTTTCTCAAATAGGAATGCCAACAAGATCCTTGGTATGCCATGCACTGAAGCAGCCCTGTGCAGCAACACCCAAGAACCTGACAGCAGAAAGAGCCTAGGCTGGTCAAGTTATCTTGATCATCCACAGTAACTGAAGGACGGAAACAGCAGGAGGCAGATCGCTCATTTCAGCCCAACACTCAGGATTTTCCAACATCGCCCTTAATAGTAAGGGTGGCACTGAGCAACAGATAAATAAGAGGTCAGGAATTTTGCTATCAAGTGCTCTGTTGTGTTGTTACAAAGTTTTTCTACTTTGAAAAGAGACATTCATGACACGACAGCTTTAAAAACACACACACACACAAATATGTATTTTACATATTTAAATTTCAAACACACGTACTCAGTGTATATCTTTTCCTCAAATTGGAAGATACACGTGAACAAGCTCGGCTCTTGACTTCTCCCTTCAGCAGAGCTTGCACCCGCTCCAGGGAGCCGGGCTGGAGCAGTTCACACTCTCAGCACCGTTTTAGGGAAGATTCTTCAGCTTAAAGGCCCTGCAAAATTTCACTGGACGATGGACTTAAGGGCAGTAAGACTTTGGAAAAAATTCTTACATTAGACTAGTTATTTAGATTTATTCAAATATTTTAAGATGCTGTCTTGCCATTTTTCTTTAAATCAAAAATGAAAGTGATGTATTTTTAGAAAGAAATATAGTTCAGTTGCAAGCTGTAGTTTCAGGTTAGTTTTTATATTCATATATTTTAAATTTACTATTTCAAATTCATGAGGAGATATATTTTCTAAATTGGACATAGTACTATTGGTAAGTAGAATATAAAATATCTATTGCGGGGGCCAGCCCAGTGGCCTAGTGGTTAAGTTTGGCTCGCTCCGCTTTGGTGGCCTGGGTTAGGTTCCCCGGCGCCGACCTACACCACTCATCAGCAGCCATGCTGTGGCCATAACCCACATACAAAATAGAGGAAGACTGGCAACAGATATTAGCTCAGGGCGAATCTTCCTCAAGCAAAAAGAGGAAGATTGGTGACAGATGTTAGCTCAGGGCAAATCTTCCTTTTTAACATCTCTCAATTTTTAAGCTTAAAGATTTCTCTTATAAACGAAATTATTTACATAACGAATTTTTCAGTGAACAATTATAGTAAACGAATTTTACCTGAGTTTATATATATGTAATATACAGGTATATATTTTTTCCTCTTAACTATAGAAAACTTTACCCTCTCTCTCTCTTTTTATCTTTTTCTGCCTGAGCTGAAACAGTTAATCCCAGGTTCAACATCCCTGGATTTCCCTTGACTATAAAAACAACCAGCCTCCAGTTTAAATGTTTTCACCGCTTGTAATACAGTACCTTCATTGACTCAACCCAAACAAAAAATAGTGCAAGGAACATAAGTGCCTCTTCAATACATCTATGTCTTCCTCTAGCCTAGTTTCCAAAATTATTATTCTTTCCGCAACCAATATTTAGCTGTACCAACTTTTCCTAATGAAGTAAACTTTGTAATTCTCAAAATAACTTACATTCCTGTATGCTTGAATTACAGATCATTTATATATTCATTAGTCATGCATATATTCATTTATCTAATTATTAACTACTATGTGTCAGGCATTGTACTAAGTGCTGGGGATATAATGACGAGCATATAGAAGCATACTTACTGGTGACCTATTTTAATGAACAGGTAAGAATGAAGCAAGATTTGCAATCAGCCTATCCTTATTCATATGGAAATAGATGCTATTAGAATTCTTAAAAAACACTGTTCTCTAAAGTAGATTAAACATGCCCTATTCTTCCCCTCCAAGACAAACCATTAAATTTGTACTATTAATTTAATGCATACAATACTATAGCTACAAGAGATCACTCACCTCAATCTCTCATTTTGCCTAAAAGGAAATGATATTACAGAAAGCTTATAGACTTGGTCCCAAAGTCACTGAACTATTTAAAAGTATCATCAAACTAAAACTCAGATTTCTGTCCCCAGGTCCAGTATTGTTTTTGTTCTATTACAGACCAGGTTCTCGCTAAAAGATAAATCAAATTCGAAACCAGTAGGTCCAAAATCAGCTGCCAGGTTTTTTTGCATTCCCCCCAAACACTGGATTTTAATAATTCATCCATTATTATTAGTTTTAGCAAATAGCTTGATAAAGCAATAATTTTCAATTGTTGTGAGCATTCATTTCAACATCTAACAAAAAGAAGGCAAATGATTAATAAAAGGCTGTGTGTCAACAAGAGAAGAGACATGAGCATCCAGGGTATTTAGACTTTCAAATCAGTGCTTTATTCTGTATTATATCACAGGCTATTAATGGTAGACTAGCTAAGAATATTTCCACCCTTTTTGGAAAGATCTCAGACATTTTCTCCTTTCTCGGGTTTATAAGTATAAAGGCTGGTTATACAGCCTACTAAATTATCCTCGTAAATGCAGCTTCATCTGTATTTCTCATTTTTTAAAAAAAGCTTAATAAAACTTTCTAGATCTCTCTTCCAAAATTACCCAGTTTCCTTCTATCCTTGTATCAGTAAAGTTAGCCAAGTATACAGGCCTGCTTCAGTTAAAAATCCAAGTTTCAAAGCTCTTTTGAAAAAAACTTTTTATTTATTTAAAGTAGTTCCTTCATTCAAGCAAGGGGAACTAAAAAAAAAATACACAAATACTTTCCCCAGAGGAGAAGAAACAGAAGGTTTCTTCTTTAAAACCTATTTCTTCTTCTTTGGGCCGGCCCTGTGGCTTAGCGGTTAAGTGCTCGCGCTCCGCTGCTGGCAGCCCGGGTTCGGATCCCGGGCGTGCACCGACGCACCGCTTGTCCGGCCATGCTGAGGCCGCGTCCCACATACAGCAACTAGAAGGATGTGCAACTACGACATACAACTATCTACTGGGGCTTTGAGGAAAAAATAAATAAATAAATAAAATTATTAAAAAATAAAAAAAATAAATAATAAAAAAATAAAACCTATTTCTTCTTTAAAACCTAGAGTTAGATAGGCCAGCAAAAGTTCCTTGATTTAAGCTTTTCATTAGTCTCTAAATTCTAAACAACTCCAGAGAACAGTTGCCTGTATTTATATTTGTCATGATTAAATCAGGAAGTGCTCACATAAAAACACTTTGTTCTCAGTATCATCAAATGCCAAAAATATGTTATTAGAAATGCCAGGTTCTAGTCTACAGCTTGTACAACTCGCTGCCTTTTCTCCTCATCCTATCTGGAAACAAGAAGGCTTACACTCACTGTGAGGAGGAGCAACAACAGCTAAGGACCTGAAGACCTTCTTGTCCTAGAGGGGAAAGGCTATGAGCCAGGATGGTCCCTGAATGCCCTAAAACAACAGAGGAAAGGAAAAGGAACGCATGTGGTGGTCCCAGAAACACTTCCTCCTCCCACTCATCCTCCAGGAACCATTCTGCACGACAGAGACTGTGCTGTGTGATCAGCATTTCACATTACGGGTTGCAGAGCCCACCAGGGGGAAGGCACTCCCAAAACAAACATGCTGTTCCAATGCATATAAATAAAAATTCACCAGAAGTTAACCCCCACCTACTTTTTATAAAAGATTCATCGAATTAAGTTTGACAACCACATTCAGTCCCACTTGCTCATCACAGTCAAGTAAACTACCTTTGATTTCTCGCCTACCCTTCAATTTTGTTCTCATTAAAGGACAATCCCAATTAAAGACTTACAGTTTACCTCTTCTATAAAATCCAAATGCAATGAAATGAGAAAAACAAAGAAGAGAATAGAGGAAACAGGTTTTTTAAGTCATATAGACCTGGCTTTGAAAGTAAGTATGCCAGCTCTGCCACCATTAACTGTGAAACCCTGGACAATTATTTGGATTACCCATCTTCTATTTCTTCATAAAGTCTTTGAGAAGATTAACTGAGATAACCCATAAAATAATCCACAATGCACCGTGCATGGCACCTAACTGGCACTTGAATGTTAGTTAATAACGGCAGAGGTATTAGCAACATTAAAAACACGCCCTTCTGTATAAAGTGAAATTTTAAAACTGTATTTAGAAACTCTCTTCAAAATATAAATTACAAAATAAAAACAAGGAAAATACCCCTAGAGAGAATTTAGCACACTGTAAACCCTTTATAACAGAAAGATCTCCAGGTTTTAAATTATTTAAAGTGAAAGAAAAGACCATCTCTGATTAGACTATCTCTGTGAATACACCCAAACAAAATGGGGCTGAAATTTCTCTATATAAGAAGCAAAGTGAAAATGTATATTTTGAAGGTCCAATTCAAAAAGCTATGTCCTACAGAGCACTGGATGCCAAGAAACCAGAATATTTTGATATTAGCTCTATTTCTCTTAATGTCTATTCCCTCTGAAAAATATAACAAGGAGGAATAATGAAAATTCTTTATTTTTGTTGTTGTTGCTCCTTGTCATTGAAGAAGGCTAGAAGAGAATACGAAAAAAATGTCCATTAGACTAAAATGGTATATATGTTATCAGCACACTGATTTCAAAAACTTAAATATCCTTGGAAGGATTTACCCAATAAACACTTCAGACAATGCTTTAAAACAAGATACAGTTTTCTTCATAGAGAATGAAAGTCATTCAGACTGCTTCTCAATTTATAATTTAATGTTGATACAATGATCTACAGTTACACGAGAGGAAGATCACTTTCATCAGTGTCTGAGGACAAGTTGGCACATATTGAACTTTCCTCAGAGCTGATGTACTTTTAAGAATAAAAAGGGATTGGGCCGGCCCTGTGGCTTAGTGGTTAAGTGCGTGCTCCGCTATTGGCAGCCCGGGTTCGGATCCCGGGCGCGCACCGACAGCACCCCTTCTCCGGCCATGCTGAGGCCGCGTCCCACATACAGCAACTAGAAGGATGTGCAACTATGACATACAGCTATCTACTGGGGCTTTGGGGGGGAAAAAAAAAAGGAGGAGGAAGGAGGATTGGCAATAGATGTTAGCTCAGAGCCAGCCTTTCTCAGCAAAAAAGAGGAGGACTCAGCATGGATGTTAGCTCAGGGCTGATGTTCCTCACAAAAAAAAAAAAAAAAAAAAAGAATAAAAAAGGATCTAGTTGGTTCTATGGTGCAACAATCTTTCAAAAGTTATTTCCACTAAGTTGAATGCATGTTCATAATAGTTCCTTACGGATGTGTATAAAGCTTCAATTTATATTTTACAAAGATCCCAGTTTTGGTTCACTGATAATCTAATTATATATCTGGTCTGGAGGAAAAGTCAAGATATAGTTTATTAATGTTTATTTTATATATATATTTATTATATTTTATTAATGTTGGTCTGCAGAAACTTTACTAGGGATAGGAGGAAGGTTTGGACTCCTGGAAAGCAGAGATAAAAAAATTTGAGACTCTTAGAACAGGAAAGAAAGCAGAGGAGAAGTTTTTAGAATAAAGGATTAAGAAAACAAAATTTTAGGCTTAGTACAAGATTGCTAAGGAAAAGGCAATAACAGACGGGCTAGCTGTAGACAGAGGCATCATTATTCATACTTCTAGCAGCCTTCCTGCTACCAACCCCAATCCTGCATGCTAAGCTCCAGCCATACCTCAGGCCCCCAAAAGGAACACTACTTATTCAAAATTATCCTTCGGCCTGGAATCCCTGTCACTCTTCGTTCACTTGCCGAACGCCATTTTTCTTTTTTAATTAAAGCTTAATTCAAGTGTCATCTCTTCTCTAAAGCCTTTCCTGATCCCACTCACTTCCCCACACCACCACCACCTCTCCCTCCATGTGTGACTGTGCTTCTTGAAGGCAGGAACTGTTTTTCACTATTGTATCCACAGGGCTTTGTTGCACAGGAACGGTTTGCAGAATGAATGAATGAATATTGAGTAACTAATTATTTTAGAAGCCTCGGACCCAAAATCCCATTCTTGGGAAATTTATCTGGATATGGAGGGTAAAAGTCAAGTTAACTAGCAAGAAAGCCTTGGGCCAGAGGAAAAGAAATACTTCAGGACAATGAAACTGGAAAAGCCTAAAAGAAACCAATAATGCTTTGAACCTATTCCAAAATTACAGTATGATGCAAAACTGCATATTTGCAATTTAGGTAACTCTCATTACAGTACATCTATTCCTCAGTTGTATCCCACATTATAGGAAATAGTTGAGTACTTTAAAGTCATTAACCATGTGGGTTAATATGCAGAACCTGGGACACTAAAACAACTCAAAGAAATACATAAATAAAAACTGAATTCCAGGACACAGTTTAAAGCGTCAACTCCCTTGAGTGGTAGCTTCAGAAAGTTACCTTTAAAATGGTCTGGCAGGAAATCCCCCAGAAACTTGCATCACACTCCTGCTTGGACATTCTGGCTAGGTTCAGTTTGAATCTTTCTTTCCCTACCTCTTCTCCTCCCTAATCTTCTCTCTCGGTTTGGGACCATATCCCTGAAATAACCAGTCTTTCCTAACCTATCTCATATGCCCCAAACTACTTTTACCATGTACTCTATAGCTTAATCAGATTCCTACCTTTCTTAGTATGGCTTATTGGCCTAATCGGAAGCCAATTCTGACATCTGCGTAGCATTATTATAATGAATGAAGAGAAGTCCTAGTCATTCCAACTTCATGCTGTGAGAATTTAACTCGTGTACCATCAAGAGAAAGATCTCTAAGGACAGTAAGACAAAGCTTTAAAGAGATGGCGATATTTCCATGCATATTTTCTTTGATACTCACTTGGGAGGGCATAAGACTTCTTCAAGAAATTCTTCAATCTTATTTACATCCGTTTTGACTTCATTGTTGAACGTTATAAATGGTGGATGAGTTCCGGGAGCCAAGTTCTGCAGGTCTGCAGGCTTCCTGTTAGGCAAAATAGTGATCAAAACGGGATCATTTTTTATTCTCACTGAGAAAACAATACTTTAAATTCTCAGAGTGGTTCTAAATTTTAAAGTATGTAAAAATGAATAAGAAATAGTATTTTTTCCACTAAGTATAACAGCAGCAATAGCACTCTAATAAGCAGCAAACCTCCACAAAGCACATAACTTATGGCGAGAAAATTGGGAGTCTTTGACTTTAACCAAAAGAGAAAGTCCTTCATTCTCATTCCAAATTTAACTCAGGTGCTTATTAGAAATGATGGTAGAATGAGGGGAAAAAAGATCTGGAAAGTCAGTCTCTAGTCTCAACTCTGGCACCAGCTCATTGTGTAAAGTTGGGTAAATCATAACTAAGCTAGGCCTTCCTTTTTTTTTTTTTGTAAAATAAGGGAGAAGAGAGAAGCTGATCCCTACAGTCCTTTTCGACTGTAAGACTCCAAATTCAGGTGCTACTCCTTTTCCATTTCCTAGAAGTCCAGACTTAACAAGAAAAAAGATCACCAGATTTGACTATCTCACATCAAAATTACTTCAATATATAAAAGATAGCATAATCAAAGGCAAGAGGCAACACAGAATGGACAAAACATTATAGTGAATAAGAAAGGCTAAAAATAGGGGCCGGCCCCACGGCATAGTGGTTAAGTGCTCCCACTCCACTTCTGGTGGCCCAGGTTCGGATCCCGGGCAGGCACCAATGCACCGCTTGTCAGGCCATGCTGTGGCGGCGTCCCATATAAAGTGGAGGAAGATTGGCACGGATGTTAGCCCAGGGCCAGTCTTCCTCAGCAAAAAGAGGAGGATTGGCATGGACGTCAGCTCAGGGCTGATCTTCCTCACAAAAAAAAAAAAGAGAAAAAGAAAGGCTAAAAATATATATTAAGAATTTTGTCCAAATTCATTTAAAAAGTCATCAAAAAATCAAATAAGTCAAAAGAAATTGATAAGCAATAGATAAAATAAGTGACCACACAGAAAAATGTCAAAGAAAAGAATTATCAAAGAAATTCAAAACTAAACAATGAAGACATTTTCCTCCTATTAATTAGGAAAAACTGAAAATACACAACACTGATAAATATGCTCAAACTGGTATGCTTACAACTACAAATAGCAAGGAATGTTGGTACTGCCCTAATAAAAAGCAAAATGGCTCACCTAGGCCCACCAATGAATCCTAGAATCAATAATATGACCAGATATAGTGTGCTGCCTAATGATAAAATATGAAGCATAAATCACCACAAAGTATTCTTACCAAAAATGCTGAACCTGAATCTCGAATCAAGCCTCTTAAGGCAGCTGTCTCTCCAAGTGTGATCCAGGGGACCCTTTCCCCAGGTGGTCCATGAGGTCAAAACCATTCTCAGAATTCTAAGACATCATTTACCTTTCTCACTCTCATTCTTTCATGCCCATATAGTGGAGTTTTCCGTAGGCTACTTGGTGTGTGATATCAAAGGCAATGTATACAGAAGTAAACAGGAGCATCTGTCTTCTATTAAGGCAGACATTAGAGATGTGCAAAAATGTAAAACAACAACACTCTTCTCATTAATTTTGTTTTGGAAAATATAGTTATCTTTAATTAAAAATGTTTTTTGTGAGGCCGGCCCAGTGGCGTAACAGTTACGTTCGCGTGTTCTACTTTGGCGGCCTGGGGTTCGCCAGTTCGGATCCCAGGCACGGACCTACTCACTGCTCATCAAGCCATGCTGAGGCGGCATCCCACACAGAACTACAACTCTACAACTATGTACTGAGGCTTTGGGGAGAAAAAAGAAAAAGAGGAAGATTGGCAACAGATGTTAGCACAGGGCCAATACTCCTCACACACACAAAAAAGAATTTTTAAAATAAAGTGTACCCCAAAATCTATACTCAGCCCAGCTTATCAATGGCTCCTGGTCTTATTCATATTCATTCTCTCTCTCTCTCTCTCCCCCTTTCTCTCTCTCTGGCTCTCTCAATTTACGTTTGGAGAGTGCCTCATCTTTCTGTGACTATACTCCAATCAAAGATACAAAGACTTATTAATTCATTATCCAATTAGTAGAAATTTTCTAACTCAGAGCCTCGCTCTACTGAAGTTCTAGAGCCTAGCTCCCTCCCAATCCAAAGAAAAATTAACACATGTTTTCTATCAACTTTTGTAAGGACCTAAACTCCAAAAGAGGACTTTTAAAAGTCAAATCTGATTTGATTTTCAACTCTGATTCTTTTACTGAGCACTCTTTGGTCTGATAAGGTAAAGCTGAGCACAAAACAACTGGAATCCATCTTACTGAAACCTCAGTAAGTCTTCTGGATCCACATTTATCTAAATAGTGAGGTACGCTTATAAGATTCCAGTAACTTTTACAAGAACTCAACTCCAAATTAGAACTAATTCTTTTCTACTTTTCATTTCATTGGTTTCTTTTGGTTATTCCTTTTGACTCATCATCCTGACCACCTGTTCTTCTTTGATCACTAAAGGATCCAGCATGTCCAAGATCAGTCATCTTTAGTCTTCAAGTCACCCACTCACATTCTCATTCACAAATTCACATTTGTTCCCACTTATAATTTATTTCCTCCTCAACTCAGGAAGACCTTGAACATAATCACGAGTCCAGAAACACTAAGAGTTTAGGGTTTATGTATTTATTTTCAAATCTTAACATTTTAAAGTAAAAAAAAAAAAAAAAAAGGCAGCAGAGGTAAGAAAGAACAACAGTATCTCATCAAAGCAAGTAGGGCTAATAAAATTTGCATAAAATACACAAGAGAAAGGGAACATACACATCTCCCACAAATGATGCCAGTGATGGGTAAGAATGTTCTTTAATCTTGTTAGATACAAACTGTCATCACCTGGAAAACATTTTTCTCATTCTTTGTGTGTGTGTGTGTGTGTGTGTGTGTGTGTGGAAGATCAGCCCTGAGCTAACATCTGTTGCCAATCCTCCTCTTTTTTGCTGAGGAAGACTGGCCCTGGGCTAACATCCGTGTCCATCTTTCTGTACTTTATATGGGACGCTGCCACAGCATGGCTTAACAAGCAGTGCGTCAGTGTGCACCCGGGATTGGAACCCGCGAACCCTGAGCCACCGAAGTGCAGCGCGCGCACTTAACCACTGCGCCACCGGGCCGGCCCCCATTCTTCTCATTCTAAAGTTATAAAACATATCCATCAACATTTTTGTGACTAACAAACAGTCCACTAAATGCCTAAGTGTAAGGTAATAACCTATGTCTGTGTTTTTTACAAATAATTTTTTCATGATTAGGGTGGAGTTAGGTAAAGGGGAATAAAGGGACTAATGCTTAAAAATAACCAATGGCGGGGAGGGGGCAGCAAAATAAATAACTGCTATTACTTCTCTAATAAATTATGACAGCTTTTAAGCTCTCCTAACAAAAATATTTATTAGAAGAGGGATAAAGTTAGCATAGCAGAGAAGAAAGAACCAGAGACTGAATAAAAAGGACCTGGTTCAAGTCCCAGATTGAATGGTTCTGCCGTTTACCAGCTATGCGACTAAGTAAATCACAACCTCTTTGGGTCTGGATTTTCTCATCTGTACTATGGATATAAGACCTGCTTTGCCTATAAAAATCAAATCAAATGATGCACGTGAAAGTGAACTAAACCAAAGTATGCAAATGCAAGTCCTTACTGCTTTCAGTATCATATTAACAAAGCCTTATGCAGGAGATGAGATTGGCAGTTTTAAATTCTAATTGAGACTGATGGTTCAAAACTGGTTATCTAGCATTAACTAATTGGTAATAAGAAATCTGTTGAAAGGCTATATAGATTTTAAAAAAACAAAGGTGATAAAACTATTTTCTGGGATTAACTGTTGAGATGAAGGACAACCATGTTAGGTCCTTACTCCAAGTGAAAGTAGACTTGAGAAGAAACTTCAATGCCGCTCAACAGATTAGCAGACTTCAAATAAATGGACAAGTTGTTAAGCAGTGAGTTGACTCACTTAGAAGCTATATCAAGTCATCGACCAAACAGAATCTAAGATTCTTCAACTTCTAGTCCTTACCTGGCACTCGGTGGCCTCAGGTGCTTTGTTTGACCCACAATGGCTCATTTTACAGATGCTTCAAAGAAACTTAACATTTCAGGGACTGCAGTGTGAAATAAATGAAACTGAACCAACAGGCAATGGCTAAAAGTTTCAGGACATTTTTGGTTTGTTAAAAAGCCTTCCATAAATATTCAACAATTCATTCAAACTCATTCAAATGTTTCCCTTAAGTGCTATCTACAAAAAGCAAATTGCATAGAATTCATGCCTTGAGATAACAGCACAAATATTCTTCAATGTTTGGAGTATTTTTTAATTTTTAACATTACTTATCAAAGTAGTCCTTTTTTTATAGTAGTCTTTTAAATGAAAAAGATTATGTTCTCTCTTATTTTGTTTCTAGGTGAAGAAAAGGAAATAAAAAGAAACAAAGTAAAACAAGAATAGAAAGAGAGGCAAAGAAAGGAATAAAAATGAGGAACCTTATAGGAGCTAATACTTTAAGCAACTTAAGCGGCTTAACTTCAATTAAAATTTAATTCAGTACACTTGCAACAATTGGAGGACGTCCAGCTTGTGGCTCAGTTCCAGATTCTTGGTATAAAATGAGTACAGCACAGCATATAAATGACTGTATAATAAAACGTACTCATATAAAATGAGTACAGTCATAGCATACTGGAGCTAGTTCTTAAAAATGACCTATCTGTAACTAGTTGACTCACTAGAGATAAAAAATACTAAGTATGTAGATCTTTTAAATTGAGTTCCCTTTTGAAGGTGTTCATTTTCAAGGCATAAAATTAATTCACAAATCAAGAAAATACTGGACACTATATAGCAAATAAGCAAAAAATAAGTTAACACCACAAATCCTTGTTTCAGGATTCACTTTACTCCTATTAATTATTCTTCACCACTAAGTGAATGAATGAATCGTGGACTCACCAAAACACACACACCAAGATTCCAGTTACTAAGCATTTGTCTACTTGTCCTAATTCAACCAGTTAAAGGATTTTATTTATTTTGATTAAATGTGGTATACTGCTAATCTTTGTCTACTTTAATGTCAATTTGTGGAGCAATCATTTTAAAACAAAATAGCATCCATGAAAAGGTTTCACATACAGCTTCTATAATTCTTAACAGATTTTATTAACACAGCTTATAAGTAGAGTTTATACTGATGGGTTTAGAAAAACATTCACTAACAATCCATTTTTCTAATTCAGCTCTTTGTGGCCTAACAGGATTTATCATCTTTGAAATCATCTCGAAAAAGAACAGAAAGACACGTGGCAGCGAAGCTCTCCCTGTCCGTCTCTCTCTCACACACACATGGATGTCCATGTGATTCAGAACACATTCGTGAGACACATATCTTGAATTGCAGGACTGTTCTAACAAGGGCTTCACGTAGCTCAACTTTACAAAGAGGAATAACGGAGCCTATACCGTCCTGACTGGCCAGCAGCAGGAAACAGATGATTTCTCTAACAGACTGGCCTGTCCCACTCCACTTAGTCTCTCTGTTTCATTCACACTGCTGTTACTGAGGATCCACCTGGAAATCACACTGATCTCTCAACCTGCTGAAGACTGTTTTCAGAAGGGTGGAACCACAGAAACATGATAATGAAAGCAAACTATCCAAAGAATCTATTTTCTTCTGAGTTTATAATTGCCTTTTAAAACATGCAGAACTATCAGTTTTATAGTTCCATTGCAACATTTTAAACTATTACAAAAATTTTAAAGTTTAAACTATCATAATAACCTTCCAAAGCTTCATGCCATTATTATGGCAACTTACAGTGGCTCTGACTCACACAATACATTACAAATGGGATGCTGACATTAGAAAGAAATCATTAGTGACAATACAAAGGATGAGACAGTTTCGGTGTTTAAGGTGGGAATGGAAAAATAGAAACATATTTTCCAGACTTTTTATTTTTTTAATTTTATTTATTTATTTTTTCCCCCAAAGCCCCAGTAGATAGTTGTGTGTCATAGCTGCACATCCCTCTAGTTGCGGTATGTGGGAGGTGGCCTCAGCATGGCCAGAGAAGCGGTGTGTCGGTGCGCGCCTGGGATCCGAACCCGGGCTGCCAGCTGCGGAGCGCGTGCACTCAACCGCCAAGCCACGGGGCCGGCCCTTTCCAGACTTTTTAAAAGTGGTCTTCTCCAATTTATTTCCTCAGAGAATACCATGGAGGAGAGATTTTATTCACTGGTAATACAGCAGATATCACTGCTTTTACAATAAAAAAGCTAATTTCTTAAAGTTATCATTTCTACTCTCATTTCTCAAAACCAGAAAAGTGTACCCCAACAAGTTTGTGGCAAAATATGGCCATACTCAGTTATATGCCAGTCAGCATTTCAGTGTGTGTGCATGTGTGCGTGTCTGTCCCCCACTCCCCACCACCTCCCCCAGACACTACTGTTCTCATCCTTTCTCCGTCCTCTTGCCCTGGCCTACCTCTCAGGCTTATCTATGCTCTAAGGATGCTGATCTTCGATTTAGGAACTTCTGGGCATAATGAAGATAGTGGAAGTCTTCAAATAAAGATCTTGATCACTGCCACGAACCTGTCAGCCAGAAAGGCCCTATCATACCAGTGTGATAAAACAATGAATTCTATTCAATAACAGGTCTGAAAATGGTTTGATAAGAGTAGTAGAAAGTACGCTGAACAAGATTTAGCATGCAGCAGACAGTGAAGAAATGTTAGTTTATTTTTTCCTTCCTCTTTCCTGAATTAAACATGAGGTAACTGACCTCCAAGAAGATGAGGCGGCTTGCCCAAGGTTCCAGGAAACCGGTGCCAGGGGTCTCTCCACACAGAACCTGGTCTCTGCCCCCAACACTTTCTACTATGCCATGGTTGCAACCCATTTGATGACATGTGATAACATCTTTGAATATACCAATTTTAATATTTTCACTAATATTTATCTGAAGCTTTTGTTCAAATGGCAGTTGACACAAACCTAAATTCCTTCTGCGGCCTGGGCACATTTTTTATCTAAAAGTTCTGTAATACCATTGCAGCATGGGGAGAAAATTAGGTTTAGAAATGACTCCCACTAAAGCATTAAGGCAGCACTGGCAGGCAAGCAACAGGAGACTGTTCCAAGCCTCACAGGGGCACATGAATACCACCAGCATAGTCATTAATGCCAACTGAGATTCAAAAAGAATGTGTCGCACAATGCCAGAACTAGAAACTGGCTCGTTCTTATGGATGAAATGTCATATAACAGTAATTTTTTCAGAGCACAGAGTGGGCTTCTAAACAGCTCTCAGGAGAGTTCTATCGCTCGTCACCGGTTTGTTCTGGGATCAGTACTTTTCACTGAGGAACTAGGCAATTATCAGGAAAATAAGCACTATAGGCATTTTCTCCCCCACAGCTTTCTAAAAACCGTCATATTTAAAGGTTTAAAGAATATATTATGAAAGGTACTTTTTACTACAGATGTTTTATTCCTCTGTGACTTTATTTTACACTGGTTTTTTAAGCCAATGTTCACTCTCTTGGGGTATCTTCTCTTTGAAATCGTACTCAAGACTATAAGTGTGTAAACTCATAGAAAAGGTCTGGAAGGATAAAAACCAAACCTAAATGCACTGACATCTGTGAAGAGGAAGTGATGACCAGAAACTAGGGGTGGAGAGGACTCATTATCATGCACTACTGATATACTTTTAACTGCCCTTAAAAATCATTTCTTAGATGTACTGTAGACCTAAGATTTCTAAAGAAAACCAAAAAATATAGGCTCCAATTTTAAGTGCTTTCTACTGTTGATTTTATACAAAGCCCTAGGAAATAAACATACATGTTCTCCAAATGGTAATATTTTCTAATTAGGAAGCCCTGAAGCCTTCCTCCTACTTCCCATGTGTCACTTTTTACATGTAGGGTACATTACTCTTAAATATATACAAATCTTCAAATATCAACTTACAGGAATAATGGCTTACAGGAAATGAAAAGTGAAACAGATGACTCTGAAATAGCCATCATGCGTTCCCTTTCTTGTCTGAACCAGTCACCCATCGTTTATGGCACTATTACTGCTATACACCACAACCAAGCACTGTATAGAGCTGTTCAAAGAAGGCTTTTTCAAAGCATGGCAGTCAACTTACTTGCTCCAAGCCAAAAATGGAATAGGAGAAATCCATGTATTTTAAGACACAGTAAGGGTGTGTGCCTGGCGGCATGGTTTATTTTTAGGAGTTATATTGGGAAACTTCCTTTGTGAACGCATGTAGGAAAAAAACAGTAATAGAAGAGTAATAACTATATGAATTATTTCATTCTTATAATAGCTCTGTCCAATATGAGGTACGTACATCTTCGAAAGAGCCTGTAGTTTTAACTCTTACTATCCCCAAGGCTTCTCTCTACATTCAAATACGTAACTAAAGGGGTTCCTGGAAAACTTCATGGCTTGTTTTCAATAAATAAGTTTTAAGTCTGCAAAATCTCAAGTAACTGCACTAGCAGCAAGGAAAGAATAAATCTGAAGGAACTGACAGAGATCCCAGAGTATGCTAACTTAGAACTGGGGATGGGATTACAGCTCTCAGATAACTCGCACTTTGTGACGTCCAGAGGGATAACATACATGAATTCTGCTACCCATCAAGTGATAGCCTGTCACTATTTTTTCTTGGACACTGTTCATGGCTGATACGCTTTAAAAAATAAGCAGCAAACCATGTTGTGGCATTTCTGTCAATAGGAATACATTTCCACTGCCGAACCCTAAACTTTCTATTGGTATAACTGTTCTTAACCCTTGATTTAAAACTTTTTTTTTTTTAAAGTATAAATGTTCTTTACCTCAGACCCGTTTGCTAAGGAAGAATAGAAGTTCCTGAGTAAAAAGAGCTTACTACTTCTCAGCCCTCCCTATTTTGGTCTACGGAGAGAAAGTTAGAAATGATCCTTCAGCTAGCAAGAAAAATCACAGGGCCGTGAACAACTGCTCTTATTTTACAATTATTTTTATATGATTTAACATAATTACAACTATTATAGTACAATTATATTGAAAATTGTATTATAGAAAATTCCTATTATTCCCTGAAAAGTAGATTAAATGAAATAGACCACAGCAGTGTTCAGCCTCCTAAAATCCCATTCGTGTCTCTAAGGATCCAGATAAGACAGGCCATGTGTTTCACACATTTGAGACCAAGAAGTTTTCTGCTTAGAAAGTTCTTCATAGCTCCACGTTCACACTGGTAAGTCAAAGATTTCACTGCATCCACACTAAAACTTAGCGCCTGGTGCTGCTCTTGAAATCTAAGGTAAACAAACCATAAGTTCCCAACAAGACAGAGCGGCCACATGCAATTTACTGACATTGTGAGTTATCCACAATACTTACACAAGTCAAATTTGTCCATAAATCAGCTAACTTGAATACAATCTACTGCCTCTGGAGAATACATGCAAACAAAGTGAGGGATGGGGAGAAAAATCAAACTGAAAACAGTGATGTATATACTCAACTTAAGTCATCCCAACTGCAACCAAGTCTTACCTTTTCAGGTCAACGGTTGTGACACTAAAGACAACTCCTTTGAGCCAAAGAATCATGAAGAGCCTCTGGGAAAAGGGGCAGTTTCCTATGCTTTCACCATCACTGCCAGCCTGGGAAACAGAAAGAAACATTAAAAAACAAGGTTAAAGTGATGATACTCAAAATGATAGACCTTTTTCTGAATTTTAATCAAGGGTACAAGAAGACAGGAAAAGCTGGATTGTGGAAAGAAGGGTGGAGATTCAGGTCTTTATTATTTTGCTCTTTCATTTGCCTCTTCCTCTTCTTAAAAATGGCCAGTCTAGGGCTGGCCCTGTGGCCTAGCAGTTAAGTTAAGTGCAGTCCACTTTGGCAGCCCAGGTTTGGCTCCTGGGCATGGACCTATACCACTTGCCAGTGGCCACGCTGTGGCAGCGACCCACATACAAAATAGAGGAAGATTGGCAGAGATGTTAGCTCAGGGCAAATCTACCTTAAGCAAAAAGAGGAAGACTGGCAACAGATGTTAGCTCAGGGTGAATATTCCTCAGCAAAAAAAAAAAGGCCAGTCTAGTACAGCACTGTCCAAGAGAACTGCAATGATAGAAATTATCTATGTTACCACTGTCCAATACGGCAGTCAATTGTGACAAGTAGCTAATGAATACTTAAAACGTAGCTAGTTCAACGGAACTGGATTTTTTATTTACTTTTAATTAATTTAAATTTAAATAGCCACACATGGCTAATGGCTACCATACAAGACAGCACAGGTCTACTCAGTCTCCAGGGGGTACATACAGCCTTGTCTCAGGGCAAAGGCAAAGTAGGTTTCATGAAATGTAAGCCATTTCTTGTTCTGTGAGACAGTATTTTTTATAAGGTAAGATAAAAAGGGAAACTTATAGGTGTGCCTGTCTCCAAAGAGTTAAATAATTGCCAACTTCTCCACTATTTTAAAAAATAGTCACTATAAAATCTTATCTCTTGTTTTACACATTCCTTCAGGGAGCAAGAAAATAACAAAAGATATCTTGGTTATAAGCTATTTGTAATCCTACTTAATGAATGGAGCAGTTGACTTCCCCAAGCTCAAGGATGAGATAGAATTTTCCTAAAATCACAGTGGGACAAATCTTGAATTCCATCGTGTATGCCCCAAGTTTAAAAAGTGGGAGGGGTAAGCGGAAAACAGGACGGGGAAAGAGAAAGAGCCAGCACACTGGAAGAGAACATTCTGACACTTGCTAGGAATCCACACAGCCCTCTTCACCACAAAGTCTGTGGAGAGAGCCAGAAATAACTTTCAACAAGTTACTCAAAGATGTTGCTACAAGTACCATTTATTATCCTAAAGTAACCCAAAAAATTCAGAAGCCATTTCAGCAAAATGCTACATTAGTAAAGTCATTAATTCCTAAACTAAGGGTTCGAAATGGGGGGGGGGGTAAAAAAATAAAAGCAGTTACCTGGTTAAACATAATACAACCAACAAAAAACATGGGCATATAAGGAGGATCCCAGAGCCCCACCCTAATCAGACAAGATGGGATAGTTACAACTGAGCTTGGTAAAAAAAAAATTGATCGTTCTTTATCAGTAATAAAAACATACACATAATTGTAGCCAGAGTGAATCATATTAATTTCCAATACTCCAACTTGTACAAAATTTTACTTTCTAAAGAAGGTGTAATAAGAATAACCTAAAGAAAACATTTAAAATGAGGACTTCTGGGCCTTACATTCAGAGATTCTGATTCAGAAGGATTGCTGGGTAGGGCCCAGGAATAATCATTTTGTTATAAGCACCCAAGGAGATCACAAGTAAGGCACCTGCTGGACACCCTGAGAAACACTGGTGCAGGAAGGTTAGGACAGCAGTCCTTGCTCAGAGCACAAGCCAGGTTACAGTACTAAGTCATCTACTATATAACATAACAACCTGGGACCCAAAGTTGCTTTTCGGAAGATGCTGACCATCCAAATACGTATGAAACACTGAAAACATACAAGTGAGTTTATTACAAATAAAAAAGTTAACACATTACCTTTCTATATAGCTTGATGATTAATATTTTCACACAAGGTTGTGGCCTTAGATATTCAAATTTTATCAGTTTCACTTTTTTCCCCTCCTGGTTTTATCATATTTAACAGCAGAGGTATAAATACAAGAAAAAGCATACCAAATTTGGGACCTACTGAAAAAGGAGTCAAGTTGGGTAGACAAAGAGTAAGTCTGACTCAAGGTCGTCTTCCTATTCCATTTATTTAATCTATAAAATTAACTATAATTTCCCAAGATGCCTGTCATAGCAGTGTTAAAATAATTGAACTGCTAAAGAAGATGTAATAAAGATGTTACATGCAGGCACTTGAAAACACATTCAACTAAAGCCAAGTGGCAGATAAACATCGATTGGCTACAGATCAAAAACACCACCCCACAATTTCCTACAATAGTCTGCAGAGCATACTGTAGTCTGGACAGAAGAATCTCGATCCATGGACTGCTTCAAGAAGACCTGGTCAGGACGCAAATGCCCCTTTGCTTTCACCTCCTTTGTCTATAATTTTCTAGCAAATTTTACCAATTCACTTCTCTTTCAGGAATATCAGGAGCTTGTTACACATCTCACACTCCTTATAAAACTACTTTCCTTTATGCACACACAAATAAAAGCATGCATACTTTCCAAGACAGATCTAAAAAACTGCTTTTTATTAACTACTCCCAAAATTCAGGACAATTCAAATAAGAAATATTGCCATGTACAAGTTTTTCCAAAGTTTTAATAGCATGAGAAAATTGGGAGCTACTAGCCAGATGATATTTTCATAAAGTATAATGAAACTGTAGAAAAATTTGGATTTCCAGAAGTCACAAGTCAAAAACTTCCTCCTTTAATCCACGATGTACTAATAAAATTCCATTTCAACATTTCAATAAAATTCCATACAAGTTAAAGGATCAAAATTATTCTCTTCAATATGAACTACACTGAATATAACCTATTGGTACAATTGACTGAAGAGGATATTATGGCATAGTGGAAAGCATTATATGTGAGAAATCAAGATACCTTTCTTCTATACCCAGTTTTTTATTAATAACAATAATAAACATTAACATATAGGTATATCTAACAATAGCATCTAAGAATAAAGTATGTCTTTAAAAAAACTGCTTTTTACTGCTTCTAACAGTAATATAATCACTCATTATTTTAAAAATAAATAAAAACTGAAACTACAGAAAGTCAGAGTTCCTCTACCCCTGAACCATTCACTAGTTTGTTAGTCTTCCAGATTTTTATTTTCTATGTACATACTATTTTTTTCCTTTAAAAATGTGATCACACTATATATAACTTTTTAATCATTTACATATTTTATTCCCAATTTAATGTAATCAACCCTCTGGAGGCTATAATGCCTCCACCAGGATGGTATCAGAGAAGGTCAAGGAGGAAGCCAGGTCTTTCAACCCTGCCAGCCACTAACGAGAAGCCCTTCCTCGTCCCTGCTGGGGTGGGGGTCAGAGGAGGCCTCGTAGTGAGTAATCAGGACTTTCACCATCAACCAGAGGTAATGAGACCACCTCGACCAGAGTGTCACTGGAGACCACACGGGGAGCTGGAACCCACACCCTCACCCAGCAATGAGGAGCCTCGCTGCCTTGGGTATCAATGGAGGCTGGGTCGGCACCTGGACTTCTATCTCCACCTGACTGTAACAAGGCAGTGTTGTCACCCTTCTCCCCTCCCAACTCCCTTCAGAGCAGTGTCAGGGAAGTCTTATTTGAGTGTCAGAGAAGTTTTTAAACAGGATCCAGAGTCTCATAACATAATATGAAAATGTCCAGGTTTCAACTGAAAATCACTTGTCATACCAAGAACCATATCAAACTGAATGAAAAAGGCAATCAACAGATGTTGACATCAAGACAACAGAGATGTTAGAATTATCCAACAGACTTTAAAGCAGCCATAAGAAAAATGCTTCAATGAGCAATTATGAACAGCTTGAAACAAATGAAAAAATAGAAAGCCTCAGCAAAGAAATAGAAGACATAAAGAAGAACCAGATGGAAATTTTAGAACTGAAAAACACAATAACTGAAATAAAAAGCTCAGAGAACGGGCTCAACGGCCAACCTAAGGGAACAAAGGAAAGAATGACTGACCTGGAAGAAAGAATGACAGAAATTACCCAATCTGAACCACAGAAAAAACCTAGACTGAAAATGTGATACTTCTTATATATTTCCATATTTTGATGTTATCCATCTAACGGTCATTTTTGAAGGCTTCATTGTATGCTATTAACCCAACAATTTCACATCTAGAAGTTTATTCTGTAGAAACACTTATACAGATGTTCAAAGATACAAGTAAGAGGGAGAAACACTGAAGCATTGTTTGTAAAAGCAAAACACCAGAGACCACTCAAAGCCTATCAGTACAGGATTTGTTAAGTTATAGACCACCTCCAGAGGGTGGAAGTCTGGGCTAACCATTTGGCCTCTGCTGGCAAGGGTAAGGGTAGGGCCACAGTTTTTTTCTGTGGCATTTAGAGTACTGCAACTATTGTCTAAAAGTTTTCTGTCTTGCTTAGGCTGCCCTTTTCCTGGTTCTTTGGCTAGAGAGAGCAGACTTTTGTTGGAGCTTTTTATGTCGGTGCCTGTTGGTGTTTCCACATTGCCAGCTTCCATAGTTCCAAATCTTAAGATGTATGAAGCAAAAAACCAAGAAACTCACCACCATCTACTCCACCTTCCCAGAAGGAGAAGTCTCTCAGAAGTATTAAATTTAAAAAGCAAAATAGAGGCTGGCCCCATAGTGAGTTGTTAAGTTCCTGCGCTCCGCTTCAGCGGCCTATGGTTCGCAGGTTCAGATTCCTGGTGTGGACCTATGTACCACTCATCAAGCCATGCTGTGGCAGCATCCCACATACAAAATAGAGGAAGACTGCCATAGATGTTAGCTCATCAACAACATTCCTCAAGCAAAAAGAGGAAGAGTGGCAACAGATCTTAGCTCAGAGCCAGTCTTCCTCACCAAAAAAAAAAAAAAAAAA